TGTTGTAACATGTATCTGAATTTCCTTCCTTTTTAATGTGGAATGATTGTGTAGACTTTCAGATGAAGATGTCACAGTTCCAGTAGACAGTCACATACTTGCATATTTAATTCACTCATATTCAAGTAGTTGAAAGTGTTACTGAGCATTTATTGTAGCTGGTAGAAACTAATAAATTTCTCTTCCTGAAAATTATGTTCACACAGTAGAAAGTAGATATTGGTATACTTGCAAGGAGATAGTGTGTATTAGCACTTGTGATTATAGGAAAGTCACAATTAGGATTTCTATCATCTCACTGGAGGGCACGTAATTCGAGATCTACAGATAATCCCTTATCCCAAGGTTGCTCACTGAGATAACCAGATCAAGAACCAAATGACTGACTTTTCAAATGACCCTTCCATTTTCTCTTAAGTTCTCTTGCACTTGCTAAAAAGTTGTTTTTAACTCACATGATTATATATACGTTTATTAATTGACTTAGTATGCATATTTGCTTAAACGCTATAACAAATATGGCTCTAATAAATAAGGAAATGTTACAAGGTACAAGAGAAAGCATGGCATTTTCACAGGAGAAACGATGCTCATCTGACCATGGAAACTGAAAAAATATCATTGAGTCTCAAACCACATGTAGCAGTTGTGGATGATATAATAAAGGCTTAACTATTCTGCATGATTTCTTGAAGTTTATTTACAACTGAGACTTGTTGACACAAACACACTCTGCAATGTTTTTAAGGGGTAGAATAAGCACAACACACTACTTACTTGTAAATTCTTAAGTTTACTAGTATTAATTTTTAAGCTATGTCTTCAACTGCTGAGACATCATCCCGCCCATGGTATCTTACTTCTTCCTTTGAACTGAGCAGATGGGATGAGAAAGGATGTAAAGGGGGAATGAAAAAACTTTGATCATAGGAGAAAGATAATTCGGATATGAACAATGGGTGAAGACACCAGAAGGAGGAGCATGCAGGATGAAGTGGATAATAAAATATTGGCCCCTGAAGTCTCTGCTAGAAGTGATTTTTTCCTAAGAATTTTGTATATCACGCCTGTCATAAACATTCAGCTTCATTGTGCAATGAAGACAGATGACAAGAATTTGCTGCTCCAACAACACACACAAAAAAGCAAATTCACTATGTGCTTGAAATTTGGCTTCAGTTTCAAATGCGCAGTGGAAAACTTGTGTGAGGGCTGGGGGTAGTTGTTTATGTAACTAATTGGACATCTACATAAATATAAAAAATGGGGTAGATCCTTCTAGTCTCATCTGTTTCAAAGTTAGATGTTGGTCTAAAGTTAAGAGACATGGAAGCTTGAAAGATACACAGGTTAGCTGTCCTACACTGACTCTCTTATATAAGTTTCAAAGTTAGAAGATTTTTCAACATTTTGTTTTCCAATGGTAGGCGGGAAAAGCAAGGTTTAAGTCTCACTTACCAGGGAAAAGAAACATACAGAACGATTTAAAGTTAGGGAGAAATTTTGTGGATCAGAGGATGATGGAGGCGGTGAAGAAATAACTGAAGACAGAGGGACTGGTGGAGGAATAGGCTGAGGAAATACTGAAAAGTGTGAGATGGGGAACTGACAATAGCCAGAAGAGACTGCCAGATGAGAGACAAGTGAAGGAGACGTCAAGGAGAAGATAGGAATTTTGACATTGAGAATATGGATGCTTGGGAAACTCGGTAACTTCTAAGCAAACTAGGTAGTGAGGTCACCTGAGAAAGAATGGATAGGACCTGGGTTTGGGGAAGGTTTAGCCCTGCCCTGTGAGGAAGGCAAGAGAGAAGTATTGATTGAAAGATGAATGAAAGATGACCAAGCAGCCTAAGGTACCCTCACACGCTAGACTCACACTGGGGCACTAGAAGGCTGTGATTGGAGGTGCTAGTTAAAATCTTGGAGATGAGGCCTTTCCTGGTGATCATTATGTGGATGGTATTACTTGGTGAGTGCCAACAGAGGCCATTGTATTTGAGCAGATTGCCACCTACTGGCTTATGGAAGCTAATGAGAGAACAAACAAGAAATACAGAGGAGCATTTAAAATTATCACAGTAATAATCTGATTAAGCCCTGCTTGACCTTGCCAGGCATCATCTGTAAGTACAAAGGAGACTGAGGCTGTAGATGTGGTATAACTCTAGAATCATCTAAGTAGCATTCAACTTGGCAGAGCAAGATGTATTTAGTTTAAAATTTGACTCCAGGGGCCTCCGCCGGTGGCGTAAGGGGTTAAGCACCACACTATGAAGGAATCTGCAGCCAGCCAGGGAGCAACCCACATGGCGCAGCAGACCACTCCCGACTCGCCCACTGCTCCCCTCAGCAATGTATTTCAGTCAGTCTGCCTGTTCTGTTCTCCACTCTGTCTCTGGTGAATACTCACCCCCTGTATCTCTGGCCTGTACCCTAGCTCTTGTATGCATAAATAAATAAATTTATGCATAAAAAAATAAAATAAAATCTGACTCCAGCTTTGGATCTAATACATCATGGAGATTAACGTGGATGGACACTGGGGGTTGGGAGAACCAAACCACTGTGTCAGGTTCTATAGGCACAGATACCAAGGCAAAGTAATGATCTTTGCCACTAAATCTGGCAGAGTCCAGTATACTCCCTTGCTCTTCTATGTAAGCCTTTAATATAGATTTCCCAAAGAACTCAAAGACTCCTGACCAGCATTTAGATAATATCTTTACAAATCCTTCTTGTCAAAAATCTTTGAGATCTTTAAAATCGAGGTTTTAAAATTTGTCTATCTCTAAATCTCATCTAATAACTTACATACACATTTTTTCTAAAATTCCATGGAATGAATAAATAAACTATCCTTTCTATGACCTTACATGTCTCTAGAATATATTTTCTTTGGGTTTAGACACCTCTAAGACTCTCCTCCATTCCTATTCCACTCAGCAAGTATCTTTTGAAAGCTGCATAGCTATTATCCAATGTGGAAGCACAACTCTTTGCTTTCATCACACAGGCAAAGATCTTCTTTCTCCAGGACAGCCCTGGATCCTCTACTCTCTATCTTCTTAGTGTCTGGACTGATCATCACACTGCTGAATAGTTTGTGCCTCCTACAACAAAAGTAGAAGCAATTCAAGCAAGAATAATAACTACAAGGTAGAATGGCGGAGGCTAAATAAATGAAGACTATACAAATATGATGCTTATATTAAGTGAGAAAGTCCCAACTTGAAAGCACTCCTACTACACACAAGCCCCAGCCTCTTTCTGTCTTGGGACTGTTGATTATCAAAAACACAGCTAATTCATTTTAACACTTTTGGATGAATTAGGAAAAGTTTCCCCTGACAGAGCATGACTTGGTGAGATGAATATAGACTGTATTTCTACTTGGCCATTTGGGCAGGTACCTTGTACTATAAACAACCTGAACATTTGCAATCTTTGGCCCCTGGTTACTAACTCTCTGGGACACAGAGCTTCTGGGAGTCACTGCTGAGCTAAGAACCAAAGTCTCATTCTAGAAGTTATATACAGATTCCTGATCCATACTGTACTTGGCAACAAGTAGGAGACGAAGAGCCAAGTCTAGGACGTGCACCGTGTGTCGCTTTAGATGCTTGCAATGCTTTCAATGTCCTGTTCGCCTTTTAACAAAACTAATAGGTCTGCATGAAAAACTTTTATCTTCTGTATAAAGGCAAACTCTTTCTGCCTCTTCATTTTCATTTTTGCAACTTACTGCAAGTGGAAAATTTATATAAATTTACCTTACCCAACTGGGCTAGATGGGGAAGGAGGGGTGGCTCTCACGCCATTGCCATTTCCTCCCTGTCTGTGTTTCAAGACAATGTTTCCAGGTTGTTTTTTTTGTTTTTGTTTTTTGGTGTTTTTTTTTTTTTTTTTTTTTCAACGACTGACCACAAATAAGGCAGCAAATTTTAGGGTTTTGAGAAAACCACTTGATTAAACCATGGGTCAGTCCTGCTAACTCACCACTCGGGCTGGTTCTAAGATAAACAATTTACAAACATGCTCACAGTGCTGTGAAAGTGGAAGGTGAAGTGAGGGCAGGTGGAGATGAAGTGAAGAGCAGTTTGAGACCCTGCTGTAATCTGAAACTGTATTTTCTGAGCACGATCAGTTAACAAACTATACAAAGCAGCTCTTTGGATCAGGCTGAAGATTGTCAATCTTTTCAAGATAATGGCAGGAGAGGATGAATCTAGTTTGAGTAGAGGGCTGAATTCAATGAATAGAGACTCATCATTGGATTATCACCTCCCATCAGGTTGGCCTCTCTCCATTATCTCTGCCATGGGAATAATTTCTTAAATGTTCACTGGAAGTTTGTGAAGTTGGACATGCTTCTGTGGAAAGGCCTCAGATGTGTCTTTTCCTTGGGAAAGATAAACTTTCCAATTAAATGAAGAATTCTTTGGCTATCTCTTCATCGTTACTCTTTCAGGGTGAGATGCAGCTCTCATCTGTCAAATGTCAGCCAAGATTTAACTCCAATTCTTCACTAGTAACTGCTCTTGCCCCATCCCCCACCTTGATAGAACAAGATCTGGGTGGGTCTTACTAGTGACTTGAACTTGAACTGAGGCTGTTATTGAGATCTCTGAGGCCCAGGAGGTCTCAGCCTTTATTTAACAGGAAAGTGAGTAGGAGCTCAATAAAAGGGGTTCTGGGGGAAGCCCCCCTTGGCCTCTTCCCACTTATAAATCTGTAACACATGTTGACTACATCTAAAATTATGTCATTGCCTCATAACTTTTTGAGATTCCAACTTCTGGGGCCCCTGGGAGAGGAGCAGTTGTTATTACAAGGTCAGGATTTAGCACTGGAAACTGAAGCCATTCAAGGTCTCCTCTTTCTGTGTTGACTCCATTGCTTTTAGGCAGCCACAGAGAGGTCTGGCTGCTCTCAGGCTGACAGGCCAGGCAGCGCTGCTGGGCAGGATGGAGGTAAACAACTAGGTTTTGTTTCCTCAGGAGAATATATTGACGAGCATGGTCACTGCCAGACCTGTGAAGCCTCGTGTGCCAAGTGCTGGGGGCCTAACCAGGAAGACTGTACAGGCTGCCCTGTCACAAGGTAAGTGGCCTTTCAGTATTTCCTGGAATTGGGGGCTCATGGGTTACAGGCTGGAGCAAGAAGTGCTTTCCATCTTCAAGGCACTTCTTGGGCTTGCAGAGAAAATAACCAAACTCCTTCCCATGACACACAAGCCCTCCACAGCCTGACCATAGCCCACAACTGTAGACTCTCCCCTCCAAGATATCCAGTACCTACTGCTCGGTTGCCTGGACTCAGTAGGGGCTTTCTCATTGACAGAGATGGCGCTGACTTTGATGGCTAGTATCTCATCCTTTTCCTCACATCTGTCCCTCAACCATCACTTCCATTTGGTAGAATGAAAAAAATATCTACTTGCACTTCCAGTATCAATTCAAGGGTGAAATGTTCCATAAAATCATTTTCAGGGCCTCTCTATTGGCACAGGGGTTAAGTTTCAGTGCTATGAAGCTACCACCAGCCACTGCAGCACGAGTTCTCTCCCCAGCCAGGGAGCTAACCCACATGCCCCAGCAGGCCTCTCCTGTCTCGCCCGCTGCTCCCCTCAGCAGTGTATTTCAGTAGATCTGCTTGTTCTGCTCCACGCTCTGTATCTGGTGAATCCTCTTACCCCTGCACCTCTGGCCTAGATGCCAGTTCTTGTATGCATAAATAAATCTTTAAAAAAAAAACATTTTCAGTCTCAAGCTAACTTCCCAGTTTATATTTTTCCCCATGCTCTATAAAAACTTCCTTAAGAGCACCTATAACATTTAAGACTTTCATTTACAAATCTATCTCATTATTAAACTGTAAGCTTCTTGAAATACTCATCTTTGTATCTCCATGACCTACGATGATGTTAGGAATGTAGTAGGTACTCAATGTTTGACGAGTGAATGAAAGAGAAAGCAGCAAGTATCCAATGTGATGTGCATCTCTGCTAATATACTAGGAATTTCTGATGAAGAGAGCTGGGTGGGACCCTGTTGTAATGTTAATTACACTCCTGTGATTCTAGCACTTATTATTTGTTTGAATAACAGTTCTCAAAATAAAATTTGTTCTCCTCTAAATGCATTGGAAGCAGGGCCCCTCCCCAGGCCAGTATGACGAGCAGTTCTAGCTGCAGGTGCATCCTAGGGATGGAAGTCCTTCTGCCTTGAACAATAGGCATCTCATCCATTTCTACTTCAGAGCTACAATACCCAGGCAGAAACTATGATATATTTGTGTCTTTATTCTCCTGCAGTGAACAGCACATAGGAGAATTCAATAAATATGCATTTTATTGAACTTGATAAAATGGATAATCAATATCATGGATTTGGATCTCCAAATAGTTGGGGGGGGGGTAGTGAGCGAGCGAGAGAAGAAAGTGGGGAAGAGGGAGGAGAAGAAGGCAGGAGGGGAAAAGGAAGAGGGACAGGGACAGGAGGTTGCAGTTTTACAGGAAATCTGCTATTTGAAAGTTCTGTCTGCATCTTCTAGTTTTCGCTTCACATATCCATAAGCCCTTGAGTTTAGCTCCTAAATAATTGAAAACTTCAGAGGACGCATGTGCACCCTTTACCATGTAGAGCTGTTTAACATGTAGAGCACTGTTAATGGCCCAAGCTTATTTCCCAGAACCATCCTGAAGGAGCTACCAAGTCAATGAATGAAGTTAAAGCATTTAAAAGTTACCTCTCAACTATGTTGACCCACCCTAAAAGATTTTATTCTTTCTTTTCAATGAATTCAGGCAAAAAGGACGTTTGCCCTATTTCATTCTGTTACATTATGTACCAAGAGACTACAGGATGTGTCCTTGTGATGATTTCAGTTGGGCAAAGCCAGCGATCAGCACAGAAGACCAGTCAATCCTGACTTGCTGTTCACATCTTCCATGCCAGTTCACATCTCACTCACACATACACGTACATACACACACCCTGGGGCTCCCAGAATATTTTGTGAGAACATTGGTAACATCCCCTCTGCCAGCTATTTAGCATGTGGCTCTGCCACCTTCTCCCTTTCCATGAGCCCTGTTGAAACTGGAGGGGCTCACCGCCTTTGAAAAGGCTAAGGGCACACTTGATGTGGGGAGAGAAGTTCTTTCCCTGGAGAAAGTTCTTTCCCAGATGATCCTGGCTGAGCATGTCAGAAATCCGCAAATTGGATGACTGGTGGTCCCAAAGATAGTTTGACTTTAGGGGCCTCCCCTGGTGGCATAGCGGTTGAGCTGCCCACAGCCTCTACAGCACCGGTTCGATCCCCGGCCACGGGCGAGGGTCCCAGATGGCGCACAGACCTCTCCTGCTGCGCCCACTGCTCCCCTCAGCAGTGTATTTTATCAGTCCGCCTGTTCTGTTCCCCACTCTGGCTCTGGTGAATCCTCTCACCCTCCCGCGCTTCTGACTGTACCCAGTGTTTATATAAATAAAAATTAAAAGAAAAAAAGATAATTTGACTTTAAACAAGATTTCCATCTGCCCCATGGAGCCCAGAAAAAGGAACCTATTCTCCAGTAGGGAAGATTTGTTTATATCGGTGGAAAACTATCCATCACAATGGTATTTTTCTTAAAGTCCACTCGCGATTTTTCTTGAGGGGATGGTGGGTGCAGTGGGTGGTGTCTTCACTATGCATGACTGCTTTTCATATCTTTCAGTCTTTAGAAAGAATTGTGTTCTTACAAGGACTCTGCATTGTCACCTGTGCTTTTCCAAGGGTAGAGATGGTGGGAGGTCATTGAAAACACAATTATGCATGTGGTACTTTCTTAGAATCAAGCACTCAAGTAGAAAAGGCAGCCCCTTCCCTACATAGCCATGGTAGTATCTCACCACCTGCTTCCCCTCAACCCCCACCCCACCCCACACACACTTTCTGGCTGGTTCTAAATGGGTTCCCATCATTGACAGTATTAGAATGCCTCTTTTTTAAAAAAAAAAAGATTTATTTATGCATACAAGAATGGGGATACAGGCCAGAGGTGCGAGCGGTGAGAGGATCCACCAGAGACAGAGTGGGGAGCAGAACAGGCAGACTGACTGAAATACACTGCTGAGAGGAGCAGCGGGTGAGTCAGGAGAGGTCTGCTGCACCATGTGAGTTGCTCCCTGGCCAGGGATCGAACTCGTGTTGCAGTGGCTGTGGTTAGCTTCATGGGTTGTGTCTTAACCCCTTGCACCACCAGGGAAGCCCTAGAATGCCTCTCTTAAATGATTTCCCCCTAAACCAATCTATCTTCTCTTGCTGATAAGTATAAAATAATGATACACCTATTCCCCTTTCAACAGAATTTAGCAAGAAAGTGAGCAGTCAAGAATAAACATGCCCCATTTTCCTTTTCAGCACAGCAATGAGTACCAAGCTTGTTTTAAAACCTCAGAAAGTTCCTAGGCATGTATTCTTACAGTAATGTTTGCTTTTTTTTTTTTTAAGATTTATTTATTTATACAAGCACTGGGTACAGTCAGAAGCATGGGAGGGTGAGAAAATTCAACAGAGACAGAGCGGGGAGCAGAGCAGGCAGACTGACGAAATACACTGCTGAGGGGAGCAGCGGGCAGCAGAAGAGGTCTGCCAGCCATGTGGGACTCTTGCCCAGCAGCTGGGGATCCAAACCGGTGCTGCAGAGGCTGCGGGCAGCTTCACAATCCAGCGCTCAACCACTGCGCCACTGGGGAGGCCCAATGTTTGCTTTTTATTGTTTTTAAATAACTACATCCAAATTATTTCTTAAAAAATCTTCTAGCTCAGAAACCAGTGCCAGGATGGGGCCAGGCTATTTTCATTTGGCATCTGTGCCATCAGCTAATGTCTGGGCAAGCACAGTCTCACCATGAAGCAACCATCATGAAGCAACCATCATGGAGGGGATTTGTCCAACATGGTGCACATATCTGGTTAGGACTGGATTCTACACTCCGAAGTGGATAGAAAGAAATGGGGCTGGTATTGGTGACCAGAATCTGAGGGCTGGGAATCTAAGAACAAGGTACCCTTCTTTCTCATGTCATGAGTATTATCCTATTGTGTTTCAGACACAAATGACACAGAATTCGAGATGTGGGAACAAGGTAGAAGACTACAAGGGCCACACTACCCAGGGTGCCTTCCTCCCACGCAATGTCTTCTAAAACTGCGATAAAATGCCTCATGCTCAGTTTCAGGCTGGCTCTAGGAAGAGAAACAGTGGGGGTTAGACAAGTCCATGACGTGCCAGAAACAAACTGCTTGAGGTCTAAAGTGATGTTCAGCCTAAGTGATAAGAGGTGGCAGAGACAAAAGAAAGCCCTTCACCGTCTTTGCAGACCCTCAGCTTTCCCAGGCTTGGGTGTGAGAATCATGTCCCCCAAGGCATGTGTATGCTATGGGCTCTGTTAACCTCACAACCAATACACTAACTACCATAGCTAACCCTTGAATAATGCAGGGGAAAGGGTCACTAACCTAGACCCCCCACCCCAAGTTAAAAATCTAATCAGCACTCCAAGGGTTCTGGACCTATGGGTTCAACCAGTGACATCCATGGGGTCTGTGAAGGTAGAACACTAGGATTTAAAAAAAAAAACAAACACTCTGTGTATAAGTGGGACCCGCCCAATTTGAATCTCTGTTATTCAAGAATCAATTGTACTTTAAGGAAGCTCTAAGAAACACCAAGTTCACACCCCCTATGTTATACAGGAGTCTTCTAGCAAATTCCACAGTAATCCAGAGTATCAGTGGAACAGCGGTTCTCAGTATGTTCCCTAGACCAGCAGCATCACATCGCTCAGGAACTGTCAAGGAGATACATAGCTCAGCTTTCTGCTCCCAAGACCTACTGAATTAGAAACTGGGGATGGTGGGCCTCCCTGGTGGTGCAGGCTGTTAAGCGCAGCCCTATGAAGCTGTCCACAGCCTCTGCAGTGCCGGTTCTTCGATCCGGGCCAGCCTCGGAGCAACCCACATGGCGAGCAGACCTCTCCTGTCTCGCCCGCTATGCCCCTCAGCAGTGTATTTCATCAGTCTGCCTGTTCTGCTCCCCGCTCTGTCTCTGGTGAATCCTCTCACCCTCCCCCACATCTGGACTGTACCCCAGCTCTTGTATAAATAAAAAAAAAATAAATCTTTAAAAAAAAAAAGAAACTGGGGATGGAGCCACCCAACTCATTACCTCTCTTCACAACACTTACCTGATGTCTACACTTGGCAAATATTTAGTATTTTTCTGAAATTTAATCACATTTGCTCTTTAAATTTTCAAAGGAAAAAAATGAAGCAAAACTACGAAAATGCTGACAATGACATTATGATATATATTGTATGTGTATAAAAACAAAGGTTTTAGTAGCCCACAAGCTAACATATCTGTAGAGACTGTGAATACCACTACTGTATCTTTGCCCAAAGAATATGAAAACTCTTATATAAAAATATTTAAGTATTCCTTTGTTCACAGCAGCATTATTCACAACAGCCAAGTCATAGAACCAATCTAAATGCCCAAAGAAAGACGGATGGATAAAGAAACTGTAAAATATATACTCAATGGAATATTACCCAACTATTGAAAAATGAAATAGTACCTTTGGGGACAAAATGGTTGGAGCTTCAGTTGATTATGCTAAGTAAAATAAGACAGAGGATAAAAGATACATACTGGGGCCTCCCTGGTGGTACAAGAGGTTAAGCACCACACTATGAAGCAATCCTCAGCCTCTGTAGCATGAGTTTGATCCCCGGCTGGCCAGGGAGCAACCCACATGGCACAGCAGACTCTCCTGTCTCGCCCGCTGCTCCCCTCAGCAGTGTATTTTAGTCAGTCTGCCTGTTCTGTTCCCTGCTCTGTCTGGTGAATTCTCACACTCTCCTCCCCACCCCGCATCTCTGGCCTGTACCCCTGCTCTTATGCATAAATAAATAAATCTTTAAAAAACATATTTTTTAAAAGACTGGATGATTTCACTTATGGAAGGAATATAATTAACCAAAGGACACAAACTGGCAAAGCACAGCAAAAATAATTCTTAGACTATGAAAAATTTACTGACTACCAGAGGAACGGAAGGAAGAGAGGATAGGGGAAGGGAGAGGAGGGATATCAACATAAGTTTTGGTGGGGGATAAGTGAAGCATGTGCATATATGGAGTGTGAAGCCGTATCCCCCAAATTATTCAGCTATGTTAACTACTGACAAATTAATAAAATTTGAAGAAATTTAGAAAAAAAGAAAGTAGAGACTGCGGTACTCTAGACATCAAGAAACACATGCAACAATGATGCTTGAATCGGAGTCCATTGATTACTTGCCATATGCATAGACCAAGTTTACACGTACACTGAAGCTGCAAGATAGTACTTCATTCTACCCTTTGGGAGCCCTTAGAGTTGATATTTCCCTTTAAAATACGGGCATACCGATAACTAGAGGAGAAATATTTTCTCCAAGACCTCTAGATTTAGAGGTCCATTTCATGTCTTGAAAGTTCAAAGACCTCCATCTGACTGTTGACTGGGTTTGGGCGGAGCCTACAATGTAGATTTAATCTCTGTGGGTACCATTAGCTCATGTGGAAGCAGAATCACAATTGCTTCCCAGCCAGTCTCTGGCATGCCTCCTGTTGGGCCCAAACTTTGGATGAAGGACTGGGTATATGACTAATATTCCACATATACTAAGATGATCAATCCCAGGCATCCCTTGTTTCTACAACAATAAAACCAAGTCTGTGCAGTGAAATATGAGTAATACAGGTTCTGATACATGAGACTATCCGAGAAAGTCACCCTTACAAATTCTAAGTCCACTTTTCTTTTAGGGTTTTTGATGATGGCCGCTGTGTTTTGAACTGTCCCTTGGGGAAATTTGAATCTAGGCACCAATGCCATCCATGCCACTATACCTGCCGAGAATGCCAAGGAAATGAGTCTGCCAACTGTACCTCCTGTGGAGTAGGTAAGGGAGTGTGGTTTCTTACTCATTCTTTGCCTCCAGCCTGTTTCTCACTGGCCATAATTGGTTTGACTCAGAAGCGTTGTCTCTGGGGAAGAGGGGTTGAGATCTCTAGGGAACAGCCGTTTACTAGAGAATATACAGAAACTTGTTTTTGGGACATGAGTTCACACAATTGCAGATACAGACTTCCTGTCTGAGGAGATGAGATAGAAGCTAAGGGGTACTTTTCCAGAAGAGACGAACATGGTGTCAGATAGATGAGAAAGCTCAGGTTTGTTGTGGTAAAAGTGAAAAGCTCAGAAAGTAAGGAGGTCACATTCAATCTTTCAGAGAGAGATCATAATTAAGGCCGTGTCAGGGTCTCCTCAGGTCCCAGCAATACCATCTAGAAGCTTTTGGAGTCCGATGGGAACAAAGTAAGCATTTCAAAAAAACAAAAATATTATGACCTTTTGTGTTTCAACTTTAACATTTTTGGAAGTTTCTACTGTCACCCATCTCAAAGGTTCTCTGTAGTTTGAACTTTGACTGCTTTCCATGTGCCTGTTCCTGATTTTGACCTCATGGGGGACAGATTTTCTAGAACTGCACAATATTTTAAAAATTTGAGTCAGATTTAAACATTGGGATATTTCAAATAAAAACACAGATTTGTTTCTCTTGAAAATTTGGAAGAGCTGACAACACCCAGCCTACATTTCCCAAATAGTTGACTGGAAACCAGAGAGACTGCTTTCTATTTCTCCACAGTTCCTACCTCTCCCAGTTGTCTTACTGGTACAGAGACTGTCAGTTACTACTATCACACTTAAATACTTAGTTTTTCTGGTAGAAAATAATTACTTATTTTTATTTATGCTTGCATCAAGGCATTTAAATAAAGTCAAAAAGTAAATAAAAATAAAATGAGAAAAATGAACAGATTTAGGGTATCCTATGGGCAGAAAAATGGGAAGTAATACATTTCTTTGTAAAATTGAAGTTATTTCTTTGTATTTCTTATATAAAGTACATCTCTATCAAATTTTTCCTCGGCCTGCTTCATTCTGTTTCCTTCCTGATCTATAAGAAGTTAATGACAGTTGCCTCCTTTTAGGATAATTATATGATTAAGTGACCTCCTTTTCAGAGTCCATCTATTTCAAATACCAAGACCTTTCAAATTTGCATCCTTTAAATCAAATTATAATACCCAAAGGGGTCCAAATAATAAAGCCATGTCTGAACATAAAAAAATGGGATTGAAGAACATTCTGATATCTGAATGCATCATCATTTTCATTTTTAAGATTAATTCAATTGAGTATGTGAGAAAGATAGGAATATTGCCAATTAATTCACTCACTCATTCCTTCAACTGTTCAATAAGTTTGTCCTCAGAATTTACCATATACCAGACCTCCCTGAGCCTCTGGGTCCTGAGCTGAGTTCATATGCAAGTGTAGGGGGTGTGCAGACACTGCAGGGTGGAGGGTAAGGTCAGTTTCCCACTGCTCACCCTTACCTACATCTAGGAAACAGGCTTTTGGAGCCTACTTGGTTTGACATGAAAAACCAGGAGTGTGTGCTCTCTAAAGACATGGGATATTTTCTGAAACATTCATGGTGGAAATAGGACTTGACAGGGCTTCATAAAAGTGCTTGCAAAGAATATAACTTTGCAAGTTATATTTAAAATATATATATTTTTTTGACCATTTTGTGGTTTCCTAAGATTCTAGGTTCTACCAAATCAGCGTTTTGCATTCCATATATTGACCTATAGCTGTTGAATCACTGAGTGCACATTACATCTTCCCAAGCACACCTTCCTTTAAAGGATAACGTTCTTCTAAGTCAAACTTGGAGACAGATTTTCCCCCTACCTCTATGAAGGGCCTCTTTATTTCCTTTGTCCCTCTATAATCAGCAGACTTCTGGCATAAAGTCTCCACCAAAAAGAGGTAACTCTGACCACGTAATTCAAGAGCATGGTTTTTAAATTGTATCTGAAGTAGGACTAAAATAAGAAACATTTTAGGTTAAATCTGCTGAATTTAAAGGTAAAGAAATAGTTGAATGCTGGTGATTTCATCTCATTTAATCTGACTTTATACTGACATGAGATTAGCACTACCCTTATCCACAAATTCAGCAGCCTGGCATCTTGAAGGTCAGTGTCTCTGGATCTTCATGTGGTCTGTCATATGATGAGCGAACACTAGACCCATTTTTCTGGATAACACAGATCAGCAGGGGAGAGCTGATTCAGAGAAAATGGATACTCTAAAAACTTAGCACAAACAAAATCTCCAAGAGGGTGGGAGTAGGAGACCTCTAGCACATCTATATTAATCTTTTTAAAAATACATGTATTTAAAACTGATAACAATTCTTTTTATTTGTGATAGTTTGTAACTGATTAGAATTTGCCATTCCCTGCAGGAATTAATTCCCATAGTCTCAAGTTCTAGTGGTTCTGCTCATTCTTTCCTTGTAACGTCCAGTGTTGACAGAAGCTCAGGATCTTTCAGGAATGCATGTACAAATTTTATAAAGGTGTGCTTGGTCTAGTGCTTCCATGGGGTATCATTGGAGGAATCGGGAGGTGTGCAACACGTCAGGCCTCAGTTCACACAAGAGTATGATTTTGATACAGAATTCAAAATCATTTTAAAGGTGTATACTCCATAAAGTCATGTCCAGCATTAAGCATTTGTTTATTCTCATGGGATCTCTGCAGTCTCAAGTCTACAAGCTTTCACAGACACCAACACATGTCTTTGAGAAAGTTAAGCCCACTCTACCCATACTTATTCACACAGCATGGTTTGAGCTGTTGCAGTGATGTCCCTGATAGTCGCTGCTCACGCAAATACATAAAATATTGGAAAATAATTCCCTACAAGGAAAAGTTTTCAACTACAAGTATATAGATATTACACTTTTTATTAAATCTATTCTTATACTTCTGGTCGCCTAGGAACCAAAGCACTTGGTCATATCTTTTTTTAATAAAATGTCTTGGGTTATATTAGCTTCATGGTTAATTCTGTACAATTTCTCTCCTTTTGTTGCTCCTCTATCTGTTCAGATAAATACAGCCGAGAGCGCTTCCTGTACCAGGGGGAGTGTCTGGAGAGGTGCCCCACAGGCCACTACCCTGCTCAGGGGCATACCTGCCTGCCCTGTCCAGACCACTGTGAGCTTTGCCACAGTGCACATGTCTGCATGCGATGCTTGGATGGCTACTTCATAGTGCCCACCAACCACACCTGCCACAAGTTAGAGTGTGGCCAAGGTAAGGCTACTTTGCGTCACTGCCCTGCACCAGGAGGTGGCTGCAAAGCAGCACCCCTAGATGCACAGATTTGAATTGTATTCCTGACTTTGATGTCAACACCTGGCATGACTTTGGGTGACTCTGTGTCAAGTGGGGACACTGAGCACTGACTTTCTCTTCTCCCCCACACACCATTTCTCTGGGCCACCAGACACAATCCAAGAGAACAGGAATGTCATTAAAGACATTGAAAGTGATTTTGAGTGGAGAGTTTATAGGCAGAGGATAGTGGACAGAGAATTAAATTAGAATCCAGAAGTCCTGATCAACAATTTCCTCCTCCTCAATTACCAGTTATGAGACCCTGGACAAAACTCATCTAATTTCCACATGCCTTAGTTTCTCCTGTGAAATGAAGAATATTGCTCCAAAAGCAGTTGCTATACTAAGACAATGAAAATCAACCTACCTAAAGCTACCTGAAAATATTAAACTGTCCTGTGACTGGTTATTGCTATTCCAATTCCTTACCTTATGTAGGAAGAGGGTGATTTAGAAAAAAAAAAAACAAAAAAACAGCACTTTTAGTTTTTGTTCTCTTCCATGTACGAATGCATCAGATTTTTTTAATTTATTTATTTTTTTGCTTTATGTAAGAATTACACCAGGTCTGGTGCTGAAGAGAAGTCCAAGACATTTTTGGAATAATTAAGATATCCATTCTTGGGCCTCCCTGGTGGCGCAGCGGGTTGAGCAGGGTGCTGTGAAGCTGTCTGCAGCCTCTGCTGTGTGGATTTGATCCCTGGCAGCCGAAGAGGGCCCCACATGATGCACAGACCTCTCCTGCCACCCGCTGCTCCCCTCAGCAGTGTATTTCGGTTGTCTGCCTGTTCTGCTCCCTGCTCTGTCTCTGGTAGATCCTCTCACCCTCGCCTCTGACCTGTACCCCATCTCTTGTATAAAAATAAATTTTTTTAAAAGAAAAAAAGATATCCATTCTTTTTTCTTTTTAATGCTTATTAATTATGGGATTTAAAACTTTTTAAAAATGTATTTAGGAGGGCCTCCCCTGGTGGCGCAGCGGTTGAGCGCTGGGCTGTAGAGCTGCCTGCAGCCTCTACAGCACTGGTTCAATCCCCGGCTGCTCCCCGGCCACCGGAGGAGGGTCCCACATGGCGCGCAGACCTCTCCTGCCGCCCCGCCCGCTGCTCCCCTCAGCAGTGTATTTCATCTGTCTTCCTGTTCTGTTCCCCGCTCTGGCTTTGGTGAATTCTCTCACCCTCCTGTGCTTCTGACTGTAGCCAGTGCTTGTATAAATAAATAAATAAGTTCTTTTAAAAAAAAAAAGTATTTAGGAGGAAAGATTAAAAAGAGACAGAGCCTGTTCATTTATATACCAATTCTATATTCCCAGAAACAGAACTTGTTTCTTTAATAAATAAAAATCTACCAGCTTGACATTAAAACTAATTTCATCATGGCATATAGTCTAACTTTGTTCTAACTGTACCCAGTCTAGCTGATCCAATCTATTAAATTAATGTGATTAAAATGTGGGTGACATATGTAGCTGCAGGATGGTTTTAGGTTTTATAATTGCTCTATGATCTACTTGACAAAAAGCTACCTACTAACATATTTTCATAGCAATTAATAGTGATTAATGTGAGTTAATACACTGAGTGTAAATGAATTGTGCTTTCCATTCCTTTTACTGTCTAGGTGAAGTCCAAGACCCAGACTATGAAGAATGTGTGCCGTGTGAAGAAGGATGTCTGGGATGCAGCTTGGGTATGTCATCTTCCTGTATTAGCTAGAGTTGAATAAGTCATCATCAGTGTCAACACCATCAGCCATTAAGTAGGCTCACTCCTATGCACATAGTCTTGGTGGGTGAGAGGCATTCTCTTTTCAGGCAACACCCAGTCACTTGTCTTTATGAAACTCAAGTTTAGGGGCCTCCCTGGTGGTGCAGGGGTTAAAGAGGGCACTATCAAGCTATCACCAGCCACTACAGCATGAGTTCAATCCCCGCTGGCCAAGGAGCTAACCCTCATGGTGCAGCAGTCCTCTCCTGTCTTACCCTCTGCTCCCCTCTGCAGTATATTTCAGTATATATTCCTGTTCTGCTCCCCACTCTCTCTGGTGAATCCTCTCACACCTCACACCTCTGGCTTACACCCCAGTTCTTGTATGCATAAATAAATAAATCTTAAAAAAGAAAAGAAACTCAAGCTTAGGAAAGGACAGTGGGTGGCATACTTTCCTCTGGTTGTTAACTAATTAGCAAGGAGTACCTAAAGCTATCATGTTTCAAGGTGTCTGGACCTCAGCCTCTCCTTAGCTTCCAAGATGATATATTTGAAGATGAACAGTGGTGAGAGAAAAATAAACTTAAGCAAAGATGTCAAGAGTAATTAGCAAAAACTCATTACTCTAGGGCCTCTCTGGTGGCGCAGCGGTTGAGCTCTGGGTTGCAAAGTTGCCTGCGGCCTCTGCGGCGCTGGTTCAATCCCCGGCTGCTCCCCGGCCACAGGAGGAGGGTCCCACATGGCGCACAGACCTCTCCTGCCGCCCGCTGCTCCCCTCAGCAGTGTACTTCGATCCTTCTGCCTGCTCTGCTCCCCGCTCTGCTCTGGTGAATTCTCTCACCCTCCCGCGCTTCTGACTGTACCCAGTGCATGTATAAACAAACAAACAAATAAATAAATACAACATGCCTCTAAAAAAAAAAAAAAAAAAAAAAAAACAACTCATTACTCTAACTCAGTATGTAAAACATAAAAGTTTGTCAGTTATTTTCTTTTAAGTTTGGGGTTTTTCCTTTATACAAATGATTCTAATTCTTAGAGTTCAAGACAATCCTTCACAAGAAAGCATTATAGTAACAGTAGAGTTGAAATCACTATCATGCAATGAAATGAACTTGTCAGTCTTTCTTGTATAGTTCTTTAATTCAAATCACTAGCTGCTCCTTTCTCTTTCTTTTCCATATATGGTTCTACAGAGGGGGTAGCAGGGACAGTCTATATTACACAACACCCCTAGCATGGATGCAAAATGAAAAATAAGAAGGCTACCGATTCCAAAACTGCATCTTAGTTCAAATTTAAGCAAAATATGGGAATAATTAGCATTTAGGTCTATGGATCTTTGAAAGGAAACCCAACCTAAATTAAAGATTGGTGGAATAATTTCTCTTCATGGAGTTTTCATGTAGCCCTGTGATTGGTTAACTCATATCTCAAAAATTTTAATATACCTACAAATCACATGGGGGATTTGTTAACATGCAAATTATAATTCACAGGTCTAGGGTACAATCTGAGAATCTGCATTTCTAATAAGTCCCTGGTGAAGCCAATGTGTCACGAATACTAAGTGCTATTCATTATGGCATTATTTGAAGTAGTAAACTCTTTGATATAATCTAAATGGCCATCTGTGGAAGACTGGTTGAATAAACGAAGATAGAGTGGAATACTACGCAGCCACTAAAAAGCAAAGAAAATCTATATGAACTGATTCTGATTTCATGTTATATTGTTAAGTAGAAGGCAAAGTACAAAAATGTACACATAGTATGCTATCTTTTGGGTAAGAAAATGGTAAAATATAAACATGTTTTACATATTTTGAAATAAGAAACAAAGAACAGACAAACCATAAACTATTGAGAATATTACTTACACAGGAGGAGCCAAAGGAGATGGGCATGAGACTTCTCTAATTACATCTGTTCACACTCTTTTGATTTCAACCATATATGTGATTAACATATTGATGACAAATGATACGGTATTAGTATAACTAGGTTCCCACTGGCCAATATGGGATAATTTGAGCATCAAAAAAATATTGATGACAAAGAATTAAAATTTAATGAATAGAAACTATCCATGCATAAAAATGATATTTGAGGGAAGTGAAAGGAGGAGGGATAGAAAATAGAAAGGGAAAGTTCTTCTTTACGAAAAGTTTCAACTGTTACATGCACAAGAAAATAATTAGAAAATCATCATTTGACATTCTCTACTGTGTTGACTCAAGGGAGAATCATTAGCAGATTCTAAAATCATTAGGAGAGAAATTGTTTGGGAACAGGATAATCACATAGACCTAAAGTACTTCAATAGTTAATTCAATGAAGAGTTTTATACTGATCACCAAATTAACCAGGTTATTACACTTAGCATTACCTGACGTTAAGTGTTTCCTGGTGTGATATATTAACAAATACACAGCATTATCTATCTATGACAAAAACAATTAGACCAAAGATTCTCAACTGAAGGTGATTATTACTTCAGAGATATTTGTCAAGGCTTTGGGACATGTTTGATTGTCACAGCCAGGGGGCTGTTAATTGCATCTAGTGGGTTGAGGTCAAGGATATAAATAACCATTCAATAACACACAAGACAATTTCCCAACAACAAAGAACTATCCAGTGTAAAATGCCAATTCGGAGATTGAGAGACCCTTATTTAGTCTGAAGTAACTATATGATAAATCTATAATACAAATGACCTGGACTGGAAAAACAATGGAATATATAGGGGAACAGGAGGTTAAGGAAAAGATTCTTACTGAAAGAGAAACAACTGAAATTTCATAAAAGATATTCTGGGAACAACTGGGAATGATTGACTATAATTGGATATTATTTGTGAATGAATATTTCCTCTCATGTGGCAATTGCGTTGTATTAAAAGTAGGGCCTTTGCTTAGGAGATGCATAAAACAGTATTTAGGGAAGAAATATCATTATGTCTACAACTTATATTCAAGTAGTTTTAGAAAAAAGAGGATGTAGATGAAGCATACAAAACTGTTCACTGCACTACTATTTCAGCTTTCCTGTAGAGTTAAAAAAATTTTTTTTTAATTGGAGAAAATATGCTCCATCAGCTGAAAATTCCTAGAAGCGACAACTCCCCAGTAGTAATAAGCACACCTAGGACTAGATCTTGATTTCTAATACTGTTCTGCCATAGAAGATATCAAGACTCCTTGGATATTTTCCTGACTCTGAGACCTGGATAGGAAATGTACCAGGGGAGCCTGCAGCATCCTGTAGAGGGCAGAAGAAAAGGCAGTGCTCAGGGGCAAAGAATGCAAAACAATGGGGGCATGTCAAAGGAACATTGCAGACATCCGAAAGAGCTCCCAACAGCCAAATCTGGAAAATTTGAGGAAGAATATAAATACAATAGGACTAGGATATAACCCAAAGCATAAAATAAAAATCCATGAGTTCATCCACATGCAAATAAATAAATGGTTGACTAAATAAACGGGGGAGAATAGACAAGTATTCCATGCAGAAGAATTCCAAATAACTTATTTAGCACCCCTCCTTCAAGAGCAGCACACCTACTGATTCCTTAAGTATAAACTGCACATAATGACTTCCTTGCAAGAGTACAGTATGCAAGGGAGGGGGGAAGGGAAATTTTTAACGTAGAAAACTGACAAGACTACCCCAGCCATGTGATCATGGGCAGCATCAAGAGTAGTCAATCATATTGACACATGCACTCTTGGTAAGATACAGTGAAGTGGTACTTAAACGTCAGGTAAATCCCAATTGAGGAACATTTTGTAAAATACCTGATCAGTGCTCCCCCAAATTGGCAAGGTCATCAGACAAGTGAAGTCTGAGAAATTGTCCTAGCCAATAAGAACCTGGGGAGACATGACAGCTAAATGCAATGTGCTGTCCTGGATGGGTTCCTGGGACAAAAAAAAAAAAGAGAGAAAATAAGACACTGGCTAAAGACTAAAGTAATCTAAATACATTATGGACTTTATTAATAATGACCACATCATCATAAAACTAAAGGGCATAAGGGAACTATTTGGGGTACTGGAATTATCCTTTATCTAGATTGCGGGGAGTGGTTTTATGACTGTGCTCATTTGTCGAAATTTATAGTACCATACATCTAAAAAAGGCAAGCATCATATTGTGAAAATTTCATTTCAATAAATCTGGCTTAGGAAAATACAAAGCCAGAATGGGCCTATTAATGATCCTCTTCCCCATCTCTGCATAGAATAACCAGAACAGTGAATAGGCTAATTACTAGCATTTATTGAATGCTTATTAATGCTCCAGGTGCTGTGCTAATGGCCTTATTTAATGAAAAGGAATAGATGTGTTTACTGTCCCCATTTTTCAAATGAAATTAAGCTCAGAACAGTTGTTCCACTTGTACAAGGTCACAGAGCTCGTAACTATTAGAACCAGTACTTCATCTGGAGAGTCCAAGACCAAAACCCAGGTGGTCCACAGTTCTACTCGTACCAACTACTGTTCTTTTAGAACAAAGAGTATTATGCTCTGTGGAATAATAATGCAACATGAGAATACCTTTTATTTTCTGCCTTTTTCCTCAATTCTACATATAATAACCATTGTATTTTGTTTGGCTTACAACTTTATACCTAATGACATAACTGAATTTACCAAACAGTAAAATTTTTCATAATAGTCATACAAGTTGATTTGGGGTCACTGTTCACCTGAAGCTGTCAGCCATCAGGACTTAGACGTAGAATGCTCTGAAGTGGGGTAAGGTAGAGAGGGGAACGTCGTACAGCAAGACTGAGAAGAGAACATGCTCACTCTTCCAACTCGCTCTGGATTCCCCCTGGCACGTTCCCTCCCTCTGTTTCACAGGAGCTGGTTGATAGGGGCTCCATTCTAAGGATCTGATTGACAGGAGACACAAAATATGAGGTGAGCTCTCTCCACCCTGACCCATATTAAATTCAAGCTTCGGATC